AGGGCGCGCAGCGACGGCGCGGGCGCCCCGTGCGCCCTCCGCGCATCGCGACTCCCGCAGCTCCTGCGGCCCCGCTTGACCTCCGCCTGCCGCCGCCTCCCCGGGTTGAACCGACACCGGCCGGCGTGGGCCAAAATCCGCCCCAGTTCCTCAGGGGGCCTCCTGGGGGGTAAGGGGCTCGGTTCCTCCGCGGAGGCCTGGAGGGTGCGTCGTCCTGACGCGGGGGGAGCTGGGCGTCCCGGGGGAGCTGGCCGCGCAGGCCCCCCGCTCCCCGCTTCGGGGACCCCTCTAGAGGGCGTCACGGTGGCTTCGGTTTACTCGAAGTCAGTCCCCACAGCACAGGACCGAGACCAGGGTAGGCCAGCGAGGCTCTCGCCTGGGGGGCCAAAACACAAAACACTGCAAACGAGACCGATATTTTAATGTGACGTTTTAAACGATAAACTCAGCAAACTGTGGCCCATGGGCTGCCTGCCTGTTGTAAGTAAAGTTTATGACAACCCGTCGGGATTAGGGTGAGACTAGCGAGGCGAAGTCACGGGAATGTAGTCCAACGCCGTCTTCGTTTACAATTTTAAAACATTTCATCCTGGGGTTTTCCCATTCATTCTGATTTTTCTAAGTATTACATCAAAACATTATTTTTCTTGACTTCTGAGCTTTTAGCCACCCCTTAAATTTTGCCCAAGCCCGAGTCCCAGCCCTGCCACATGACTGGAGGGTGTCCATTGTGACCCTGGCAGTGCTGGCTGGGGTGAGGGTATGGCAGGGTGGGGGCTCCATGGGTGGGTTCTGCCATCAGTGGTCCCCCTGCACTCTCCCCACAGCCAAAAGAGGACTTCAAACGGATTGGACAGCTGATGGGCATGCTGGGGATTCTGTGCCAGGACCCAGACAGGGCCACCCAGCACTCCAGCCAGGAAGGGTTGGGCCATCTCTACCAGCTCCTGATGCGCCAGAGAGGTGAGTATCCGTGTGGCACAGCCTCTGCCAAACCCACACCAGCATTCCTGAACTCAACTCCCCCAGTCTGCCCAAACCTACCTCTAACTTCACACAGACCCCCAGGACCTCTCTGACTCCCATCCCCAAACTTGGGCACAGGCCTGACCCTGATTACCAATGACCCCACCCTAATTCCTGCCTGTCCCAACCTGGACCCCAATCCCACATTTGCCCCACACTCACCCTTTCCCATTGCCTCCCTGGCCAGCAGAGGCTTCGCAGGTGAAAGAGCTGGTCCCCAAGCAACTTTCCCAAGCCAGCAAGGATGGCACCCTGCTCTGGAGCAGCGGAGACCAGAAGGCCACTCCCCCTGCCCCCCAGGAGGCTGTGTTCCCAAAGGACCAAATCTTCCAGCTGGGCAGCCACCAAGTCATCAAGGTCAAAGCCCTTAGAATCGTGGGCAGGTCTGGGTGGGGGGCCGTGGCCATGCTCTGCTCCGACCCCCACCCCCACCCTCTTTGACATGGTTCTGGTGCTGACAGGGTAGCCTAGCTGGACCCAGGGGGTCAGCACCTGGGCCAAAGCATGAGTATTAAAACCTAGGCCAGGATCTCATCTACGTCTTTGGTGGTTAACTGAGAGCTTTGGGGGAAGCCCGGGCCGCTGGCCTGGGACAGGGGAGAGAGGCGGGCGTGGTTTGGAAGAAGGAGCTGGGGACAGACTCTGGGGCCAACAGCCCAGGCTTGAGTCCCAGCTCTCTCACTGCTTTTACCTTGGACAAGCCCCTTCTCTCTGATCCTCAGTCTTCCTCTGTGAAATGGGCAGAGTGGTGCCAGTGACATCCCAGCCTCCATGAGCACCCAATAAATCGCACTCTCAGGGCAGCTGTCATGGTAGGTGTCCTCTGAGGCACCATACGACATCCTCCCCTTTGAGTGTGATTCTTGCAGGTGAACGCTGCAGAAATGTTCCTGCTCTCCTCATTTTCACAGAAGCCTTTCTTAACCCTCTGAAGGCATAGCCTGTCTTTCCTCTCCCACTGTCATATGGTCTACCTCAGCAGATCCTCCATGGTCAATGGCTTGGGGGAATCCAGTTGTTCCCCAACATCCCTTTCATGATCACAGTGAGATTCCGTGTCTTTGTGACAGTCCCTATCTGATTTGAATTGCATTCCTCTCTGGAGATGAGCGCGGCTGAGCACCAGGTGTGGCTGGGTGTGGCATGGATGGGCTGTGTTACATGGAGCCTCAAGTTCTGAGTGGGCAGTTCATGTTGTCTCTGACATGCTGGCTTCAGCTTGCCCGTTCTCGGTGTTAAACCCATAGCTAGTAAAGACCCTGCAGTTGGCGTGCTTGTCAGTCTCCCCCAATACACCTTGTGCACTCCAGCCCAGAAGCAGGTCTCGGCAGGACCTGGTGGTAGAGCCAGCTTCCGATAAATACCCATTCAGTTGAATCAAATGATGAAGTGACAAAGGCACCAAGGGTTCCGAATCCAGTCCTGGCTGACTCCAAAACCCGAGCTCTCTGCAGCTGCAGCGAGCTGTCAGTGAGGCTGATCAGAAGAAGTTCAGTACAGAAGATCTAAAGCCCTGAGTGCATCAATTGTCTGGGCCAGATGGGAAAACCTGGTTTGGTTTCAGTTTATGCCAAAAAACCTGGGCTGGGAGTAGAAGCAGAACAGGAGAGGAGGGATCCTCTAGCCACCAGCTCAGTGGGGACCAGTGGTGAAGGGACCCCAGAGCATTCAGGTCCTCAGGTGGACTGAGCTACTAGGAGCATAGTGTCCAGGACCCGAGAAGGGGCAGTCTGCCCCACTCTGCACTGCCCCTCAACATAGACAGTGGGTGTTTGGCTCTGGCTCTCCCTTGGGCAAGTGATAGTAACTGACAGGAGCACAGAGAGGGGAGAGGATGGGAGGGTCTTCTAATCAAGGAATGGTAGATCTGGGAAGATTTGGTGAACAGACCTGGGTTCTAGTCCCAAGTCTGTCCTTGATTGCCCATGTGGTCTGGATATACTACACCTTCATCACTACACTACCTTTATTACCACCGTCACCACTATCATCACCACCACCACCATCTCTACCATCACAACTGTTATCACCACCTTCATCACCACTATCAACACCACCATCTGCACCATCATCACCATCAGCACCACCATCACCACAACAGTTATCACCACCTTCATCACCACCATCACCATCTTCATCATCATCACCACAACAATCACCATCAACATCAGCATCACCACTATCACCACTGCCATCTCCACCATCACCATTATCCCCACCACCAATTCTGCATTACTGTCACCCCCATCTCACATTTATTATGCTCTGGGTTAAAGTAAGACATCTCAAAAGTATTTACCAATCCAGAGACTGTAGTATTCTAGGATTCTGAGTGTCTAACCACCATTCCAAGTTGAATTTTTTCACAAACATACTAAATACTAGAACTTTAACCAAAACTTGACATTTTAGAAAACAATTTTAAATTTGATGTTCTAACAAGATTTGTGTTAACCTAATATTCTTTTTAAAAAGTTAGTATAGACTACAAATAGTCCATTGAAGTTATTTTAACATCATAACAAACAACTAATAATCTAACATTCTCACAAAAATTTTACCAAAATTTTAGAATAATAAGATTCTAATTAATATTCTAAGATGCATTATTGACCACTTATTTGTATATCTAATATACATACAAACATTATAACAGATTTTTTAAAATTTTAACAAATATCCTAACATTCAGAGAAACATTTTATTGTCCTTAATATTCTTGCAAACATAATTTTGTGTCAGGCTTCCCAACTATCACTCTTTCACCAGCATTTTTCTTGCTCTAATTATCAGGTGCTCCAAGTCAGAGCCTTCCACAGACCTTTCTGGGGGAATGGAAGTGCCTGTATCTGCACCATCCAAGGCAGCCACTAGCCATGTGTGGCTATGAGCAGTTGAAATGTGGCCAGTGCAACCAAGGAACTAAATTTAAATTTTTACTTAATTAAATTAAGTTTAAATAACTATATGTGTCTGGTGGCTACCATATTTGGCAATGATGCTCTAAGTCTTTCCAGAAAGGTTCCACCTGAACAGCCCGATGCCGACCCAGCCCTCCCTCTCAGAGATCCCACCCACCACCTTGCATTTCCCTGAGAACCTCATTATTACCCTGAGTAGCTAATGTCTGGTATTGAAAGTGACAGCCATCTCCCTGAACCTTTAGCTCCTGGGAGAATGTGGGCAGAGCAGGCATATTCGGGCTCCTGGGGAGGCCCTCCCATGGGACAGGAGCCCTGGGTTCCAGACCCAGCCTGACCCCTCCTGGCCCTATCCTACACACAGTGAGAGTGGCCCAGGCACCTCTTTAAGCCTTGGGATCAGTCCAGGTGACCTTGAAGGTGGGCTGAGGCTAGCACTGAGAAAGCCCATGCGATGAGGACTGGGCAGAAGAGGGAGGAGAGGAGGCTGCCCAGGCCACATGGGTGCTGGGACAAGCACTGGGGTCTGTCCTATGATGGGTGTGACACCTCCTTTCCTGCCCCTGGGCTGTGGTTGGCTCAGAGAGATGCACAGGTGATTAGACTGCATAATGGGGTACACGTGTTGGGGGACCCGGAAGGAGTAGCTCAAGAGTGTGGATGTGCTCAGGAACTTGACGCACCGGTGGCATGGGAGAAGGGGTACGAACAAAGGTGGGAAGTGGACCCTGGGGACAGGTGACCCACGGTGACGGCTGCCTCCACTCCTGCTGCTACAGGAGGTCACAAAGCATCTCACATTGGTGGAGCTGACCGACCTCATCTGGACGGCTGTCGAAGGCCTGGGCTCCACCAGCCCCTTCCGCGTGCAGGCGGCCGCCAACATGCTGCTCACTGCGGTCCAGGAGCACGGGGCCAAGCTGGAGACCGTGAGGGGCATGGGGAATCCACAGAGGGCCGGCCAGCGTGCGGCAGTGGGCAGGGGGATGGCCCGGCAGTCGGACCCAAGGGCTGGGGCCTCTGGGCCAAGGTGGTGGCCCTGAGCTTGAGCCTGATGGGGGAGACACAAGCCCCACCCTGATAATTCT